TTTTTCATTGCAATAAAATTGATGTGATGTGTGATGTCTTTTTTTTTTTCAACTATGCGTGATGGCCTAGAAAAAATCAGCATGATGCATGAGATGTACCTCCCCCCATGGACCCAGCGTGCAAAGAAAGTAGTGTCCGATAGCCCGGGGCTAGTAAATGCTAGCTTCAGCTGGCCCAAATGGGAAGCTGTAAAAATGATTTTCTTTGCACCCTGGGACCCCTTTGCCACTCTGTACAGGTTCAGGCAATCATTGTTAATAATTATTTATTAAAAGTAGTTCTTCACTGATACACTGTATGTAGTAACTCCAACTAACCTTGGTCTTTGAGAATCATTAAAACTGACATTCAGTCTGCAGGGTGTTGATCTAAAGAAAGTTTAAAATTTTAGAATTTTGCAACAAAGAAAGGAACTTTAAACCACAGAACAGCAAGCCAAACATTGAGAATCCAGAAACTATAATTATTAATCCCTTCTGGGGATTGTTTTAGCCAATTGTTTCTTCATAGTAAATATAAATTAATGGCACACCTGACTCTTTACCTAAGACAGAAGAAAGGCCCTAGTTGTTCAAAAGCTGGGTAGCACTATCCAGGGAAATGAATTTGCACTATCCAGTGAATACAGACTTATCCAGTGGATAGCATTATCCACCTTTTGAACAACTGGGACCAGGTGACAAAGGCTAAGGCAATATACAGTCGACTCTCTCTTAACAGACACCTCTATAAGACGGACACCTCCCTAAAACGAACACTTAGAGTTGGTCCCTACCTTTCTTTACTCCCTTTATTTGACTCTCTATAAGAGGGACATCTCTCTATGACGGACACTTACTGCCGGTCCCAAAGGTGTCCGTCTTAGAGGGAGTTGACTGTGGTATGATCATGCGTGATGCTTATACGTTATTACCCCTTCAACTTCATTTACCATGCATTGGTATACCCAACAAGAAAGGAGGAAATTATGTAAAAAGTCTTAACCAAGGACAAAATCGGACCACAACATGTAATAAAAAACCATCTAAAAATTCTACCTAAACATTTCTCAACAAGTCTTGTTTCAAACTGTATGATCACCGCATGCCATATCAATAGTGATTGATTAGAAATAATCTTTGCATGTTTAGTAAACACCGTAAACACAATCACCGGTACTATAAACAACGGAATTCAGAAGGCTAGGCGCGCTTACAGTTGCAGCTATTAATTTGCAACAAAGATTATGAATTCTAGTTACTCACTTAGGTCTTCTTTTGTCGTGAGACGAGTGATTTTGTCTCTCTCGTGAGGTAGCAGTTTGAGCTCGTCTGTTCTGAAGCTCCTCACTTCCAACTTGGCCAATAACCCAGGCTGGTCTCTTGTAGGGTGGCCGTGTTCCATTGATACAAATAGTTTCCAAAAGCGTGTCGCTCATGTCGACGTTAAAGTGCGATTTTATCCATCAGAAATCAGAATAACATAGTGCCACAGAGAACTGTCAAATAGCAATCGCCGCCTTCTGTTTATGACTCACTAGTGGCGGAATTCAAGACCAACCTTAGACTTTTTGTAGCCTACCATTCTTGCGAAGGTGTTGCATTCACCGTTCCATTCGCGTTTGGGGCTCTTTCGATTCGTTCGCCTTAACACTGGCCGTTTATCTTCCTTATTGTGTGCACAGCAATCAAAACGCGGCAAATTGATACGATCTATATAGTGTTTAACCTAAACTGTAAAAAGTGACAAAGAATCTATTATGCATGTCCAGCGGATCAATCTTATAACCATGACAACCATAAATATGCATTCATTAATGGCACGAATTCTTCATAAAATAATAAAACTAAAACTAAAATAAATTGCCATTACCTTTTGTTTTTACTAGCCTGCGTAGCAGGCGTCGAAAGGGGTGTTTTACATGTACATTTTAAAGTCAAATATTTTCAGGTGCCGGGAGCAACCTTCCTTTAATTTGTTTACGGTCCCCACCGAGGGTGCCCACTGACTTTTTTTCCTTCATTGTTTTTAAAACCCCAGGTTTAACCCGACCGACCGACCACTACAAAAGATAACCTGCGTAGCTTTTGGCGTAGTTGGCGGTTTTTTGGTATGTTTTTCCTTTTGTGGTCGAAAAAGTAAGAGTTACAGCGCCGCTGAAAAGAGGGGGTGGGGAGGCGGGGGGCAGGTATGC